TATGATGTGCATAAACTAGCCATGGACCTTTGTGTTGTTGCATGTGTTGATTTATTTAAAATGGTTGTAATTATTTATTTATTCATATGGTATGTAATAATTGAATAGATAGTTTTCATTTGTTAATTTTTGTAAATAATAGATTAGTTTTAGAAATAGTTTATTTTTGTTTAAAAAAATGTAACAAGAATGAAGATGGTGGCCATTTTGAAGATCAAAAGTTTATAAACTTGATTTTATTAAAGTTTCTCAAACTTTATAAAACTATTTTCACAAGTTTTCTACAAGGTGTCGAAGCAAGTGGGAGCACATGAAGACTTTACAAGATAAAGGTCCCTTATGTCCCTTTAGGAATGGACATGATAATTTTGTGATGGCTCACAAAATTATTACTAGTTAATGGCTTGGTTTATGCACATATATTATAATTGTTATGCATGCTTTTGATGTTTTATGTTTATCTTATTATTATTATGTTATGGTTGATAAATTAGTTTTTCAAATTTAAAATAATATTTGAGCATAAATACACATCACAAAGAGTTTGGTTTTAATTAAAGGGTTTAGGTCATTTTTGGTTACTTAATTTTTGGTTTTGTGATCATTTGGTCACTTAACTCTCTTTAAATTTTAAAAGGTCATAAAACTTTTGACTTTGTGCTCATTTAGTCACTTATCTTTTGTTTTGGTCACTTATCTTTTAGATTAGTGCTCATTTAGTCACCTAACTTATAAATTGTGCTCATTTAGTCACTAAACTTTTGAAATTTTTTAAAAGTTTAGTGACTAAATGAGCACAATTTTAAAAGTTAGGTGACTAAATGTGAACAAGCCAAAATTTAAGTGACTAAATGAGCTCAAAGCCAAAAGTTTGATGACTTTTTAAAACTTAAAAAGAGTTAAGTGAACAAATGAGCACAAAACCAAAAGTTAAGTGACCAAAAATGACCTAAACCCTTAATTAAATATACCTTTTAACATAAGATGCTAAAATAGGTTTACAATAAAATAAGCTTTATGGTTAAAACTAGTAACGGATAAAATTTTGTGATTAAAATTGTTGAAGTTTAAAATAGATATTTGTAAACTTCTCAAACTCCAAACATTATTTTATAAAAGGAGGTTTTATTAAAAGGTTTCCAAATATTCTAGAGCACTCAAATGATATAACTTAATACTAGTTATTAATTTATGGCTTTGATCGTGTCAACTATATAAAACTGGGTTTTATATATAAAACATTGTTAATGAATGTGATTTTACATGAAATAAGATTTTTTAAATGTCACACCCCAAAACCGAGAATGGCGGAATACGTTCTGGGGTGGTGGACATTATGTACAGTATCATAACAATGCATAATAGTAAAGACAAGCAACAACATCCATTGCATTAGTATAATAATTGTAATACAAGTGTGTTCTATACAGATAGACACCAAACGTATAATCAAAATAAAAGATGAGTCTTGTATATAAATACTCCATCTTCTAAAAAACTGCATATGTACCTGCCTACTGATGACCTAAGAAGACAAGTTATTTTGAAAACAAGTATCAGCATAAAGTTGGTGAGTTCATAAGTATTTACTGTCATTTCTTGCATAAAAAGTTTTTGAAACCAAATAATATAATAATTGTTATCAAGTTTTGAAAATAGTGTGAACCCTAGAAAATCCTATATTTTCCTGCAAAGGTAGTCTTTTATCAAGACTCGGATATTTCTAAGTTTGGTTCCTTAAAAATGTAAGAGTTTTCCCAGTGAAAATGTCAGTGTGTAAATATAGTTTTAAATTTCGTTCATGTAAAGAAATTGGAAGAATAGAGTTTTACCCCAACAGTGGTCACTACCGGCTAAATGTAGTATAGATGTAAACTCCAGGTAGTATTAAATGTGTATACACCTCGGGAAGTTTGTTTTACATTCAATTCATAATATGTAAATTAAGGTCTGAATGTGAACTCGTATATAACCATACTGAGTGACAGTAGAAGAACAGTTGACCCTCCAGGTCACATGTAGCGTAGTGATGGTTTGTCATCCCTGAGCCTAGTCGGCTCGGACTGTAGCTAGCAGTCGGGATGTGGGAGTGTCCATCCCGTATAGTATAAACATAATGTTCGCTCTCCCTCCAGGAGGCTCTGGTTATACGATGATCGCATAGCGAAGTGTAGTATCGAGAAGTAGTGCATCACACTCTATTTTAGTATATCTCATGTATAGTATATAGTATTCTCTTCATGTTGTATATAGTGTTCTCTTCGTATAGTTTATTGTGTTCTCTTCTTATAGTGTTTAGTGTTCTCTTCTTATACTGTATAGTGTTCTCTTCTTATAGTGTATAGTGTTCTCTTCTTATAGTGTATAGTACGTATAGACTCGTAACTGTACTGACCATAGTGAGCATCATAGTAGCAATAGCAATGAGTGTAAAGCTTTAAATATACTTATTATCGTTAAATAGAGATGTTAGATGAATGCCTTTGATACACAAAGGTGTTGAAATGAAGCGAAGACTTTTATATCCAACACAAATATATATGATATATAACTAAGAATTCAACAACAGTTGGACAGATAATAGAATACGCTTAGTCCACAATCACACAAGAATAGGAAATAAGGAGAGCTATCAGTTCTAAGTCCTTCAATCCTTATATATATATATATATATATATATATATATATATATATATTGATGTAGATATGATTTGAAAACAAAAACAGTTTTGAAAGTATTGGAAAATAGGTTTTGAAACAATTAAAGATGAAATAAGTTTGATAAACGTTTAAATCAACTTTACTAGCATGGTAATACAGAAAATCCTTTTGATAAAAAGTTGTAAATCACATATGATTAAGGGGTATGAACTCACCTTAGTGACTGATGCGATGGTAGGATCAGTTTAGGAGGTTGAGTGTCAATTGTGGACTTGAGCACAAACTGAGAGGACCTTAGATCAGTTTAGGAGGTTGAGTGTCAATTGTGGACTATCAACAAGAACAACGAAGTTTCACAAAGAACTTTCACTAAGAATAATAATCTGACAAAGAGATTATCGAATGCACAAAGCGGCTATTAGGGTTTGTGAAAGATGATCACTCACAAACTTGTACAAAAAGACTATATAGAATTAATCTAGGCAATCCCTAAAAACCAGGGATATACCAGCTAACTAATAGACGATAACTATGGAAACAAGATAAGTACTAAATCTGTTACAAAATGTTGAATATAAAACTATACACTAAACAACTTGTATGCTGACGCTGATGCTGACGTTGGGTTATGTGCCGACGCTGAGTGACCAGTTTCAAATATCATCATATTATAAGGTTCGACCTTACAATCTCCCCCAATATGATGATGTTCAAAACCAACTAGACTAGAACACCTCTGGACAAAAATTCTTCATACTCAGCTTCAGCTTCTACTTTCACTGGCCAGTAAGGACTATCCAGCACCTCCTGTCTTCTATTCAGTAACTCCATAGCAATCAGTATGTGAAACTCTCCAGAGAGATCTTGATGACTCATGCACATTTGTGTTAACCCAAAAAGATGTTCTGTTGGAGCCCTTGGAATTTCTGTAGTACGCTGAAAACACATTTTCCTGTTGTTATCAAGATAAAACATTCCATGTTCAGGAACAAAGATGAACTTATGTTGAACCGGCTCAACACCGATAGGAAGAGAGTTGTTTATTCCTTCAGCACCAAAATTTAGAACCAATACATCTTCACTGTCAACTTGAAATCTAGTTCTTCTGATTCTTGGAACTGAGGAACTTAGGCCTTGCTGCTGAGGACGCTATGTAGGAACAAGACCAAGACGTTGACTTTCTTGATCAGTAAGTGAAGAGCACAGGTCAGTTCTAAAGAAAGAGTTGAAGTTTGCTTGGATACTAATTCGAGCAATTCCATCCATTCAGAGTATCCGTATCTGATCAGCTCGTCTCTCTTGACAACTTTAGTGTACGGATGTTGAGGACCTTAACGAGCGATCAGCAAAGTAAGAATTTTCTCGTTACGAGCTTTTGAGGCTTTAACATTGATGATCGTATCACTGCTCACTCTTCGTTTAAGAACATCTTGAAACCTCTTCTAATCAATCCTGTCGAGAATACTATCAGTCCTTGACTTACTGCTACTGGGAGGAGGCTGTGAAGATTTAGATTTGGACTGATATTCTAAAAACCTGTGCATCTGAGCTTCAAATGATCCTTTGGCCTGAAGTTTGTGTTAAATGAGGGATTCATCAGCTTGAGCAATATTCTTTAGAAGCGGAGCTTTATTGGCTTCATCAAGGATTTTCTTAACTTGATCAGGAGACATGTTCCATTCAGCTGCCAAATTGGATATGCTGACAATGGACATAGATTTCTTGCTGGGAAGAGAAGTGTCAGTATGTGAATCAAAAAATTCAGTATTTTCTGCCTTGCTCTTGCGAGATAAAGGTTGAAGATCCTCGCTAACTACATATGAGTCTTCTCCTTGAACTGGCACAGTGGGATCAACGAAGTTCATGTCTAGCATCTGACACTCATCATCATGTTCATCTTCATCATCATCTGAGTCTTCTCCTCGAACTGGCATAGTGGGATCAATGAAGTTCATGTCCAACATCTGAAACTCATCATCATCTTCATCTTCATCATCATGCTCACTATCGTCAGTAAGCTTTTCAGTTTCTGTTGGTCTCTTAGAGTCATGCACAGGCTGTGGTGGCACGGTCTGATTTAAAATGTTCTCTTCAGATCCAAGCTCAACAGAATCAGTTTCTCCCCCTTTTTTATCATCATCATCATTTTGGCTAGGGGAAGGAGTTGACAGAAGAACTCTCTTCAGTTAGTTGACATCAGCCTCAATACATAGAAGACGTTGACTCATGTCTCGAGTCAGTGTAAGAAGCTCATTAAACACTGAGGTCGGAATTTGAATGAGTTGAATACCTGGAATTTCTTGTGATCGATGTTGCTCCCCCTGAGATGGTGGCATCCCTTATGATGGTTGCTCCCCCTGAGCAGATGGCTCCCCATGAGCTGAAGGAATCCTTTCAGTGACAGAAATGGTATGGTGAGAAAGTTGAGGAGAGGTATGTCCACCTTCTTGAGTAGGATCAGCTTGTATTTCAGGATTAGTGTTGTTGATATCAGCAACTCCTTCGTCAGTGTCAGTGCTTAGTGAAGGAACAGTATATGGATTTGCGATCCATTCTCGCATTTGATCAGAGATGCCGATGTCATTTTCCAGTGGATCATCCTGATACATTCGTACTGACATGCGTGGGCATTGGATGGGGTTTCTAGAGTGGGAGTAGTAGGCTTCAGCAAAAAATTTATCCAGGACAAGAGCAATCCAGCGTGGAAATGGGACATGATCAACTCGTACATTGGCACGAAGAAGTTGGACAAGCTGATCAAAGAAGAAGGCTCCATAATCAAGACGTTTGTTGAGAAGAAGGGAACAGACAACTTGTTGCTCATAAGTACTCAGTTGATCACCACTACGATATTTGTGACCCACACATTTGCAAAGTGCCCTGGTGAAGAACTTCCATCCTGGAGTCATACATTGACGCAGAATGAGAGCTAATCGAGCATCAGCCTTCGAGTGATCATAGCCCAGTTGATCAAAGAGGCGTCGACAGCATTCAATAGTCGGAAGCTCAGAGAATGGTTCAGAAATTGGTAACCTGAGTGCAGCACTGAGGAGATCAGTGCTGATAATAACTGAGCGACGGCCACGCCCAATGGTCCTGGATATGACATTGTTTTCATCATTAACCGTTACGGTGTAGTAGAACTCACATACTTGTTTGGGAAAGAAATCTGATGGAACCTCACTGATAACGTATCGAAGTCTGCAAGATACTAAAAAATTGACAAAATCATCAAGTCCAAGACCGCGATGAACATCTGGTATATCAGGGTTGAAAACGACATTTTTGGCTTTGATGTATATGGAGAAGAGTTTGGAGCTGGGACGACTCTTCTTGAAGTGGAAGAGAAAGTAAACAGTGATGCATCCATTGAAGAGAGTTTAGATTCTAGGGTTTTGAAGATAGAGAAGGAAGTTTGAATGATGGGAGGAAGGTTTGGGAGAGAGGTGGAAAAAGTTTAAATATCGGATTAAATGGTTTTAAAAAAAAAAGTAATGATTATCTTTATCGAAAATAACTGCGTATCTTAACAGACTGTCAAATCAAAAAAATAGCCGTTGGGTAAAAAAAGAGCCGTTGTACTGAAGAGGAAACGACAACCAGTGTCTGTGGAAGCGCTGAGATCAGTGTCACGAAAAGTTACATGCTGAAAGATAGTCTATCGTCAATTCAAGGTACATATTGCTTGTTTAAGGTTAGCAAGGTGGTTTGTGCGTGTGATAGATATTAGTTGAATTATCTAGCCATCGGCACAGAGTGTTGAGTCTTTATCAGTGAGTGGTGCTTCTTACTGAATCATTAGACACTAAGTGAGAAGAAGGTGGAGAGAGGATTGTTGCGTGTGATAGACCTTGGTGTTTTGGTCTAACCATCGGCAAAGACTGTTAGATTCTCATCAGCATGTGTTTTGTCACACTGAATCAGTGAACCAGTGTAAGATTGGTAAGAAGGGATAGTTGTGTGTGATAGACCTTGGTGTTTTGGTCTAACCATCGGCAAAGACTGTTAGACTTTCATCAGCATGTGTTTTGTCACACTGAATCATAGAATCAATGTAAGATTTGTAAGAAGGGATAGTTGCGTGTGATAGATCTTGGTGTTTTGTCTAACCATCGGCAAAGAGTTTCAAGTTGTTATCAGTGTACAGTTTAATATAGCGAATCATTCAACTTTAGTTTAGAATATTTGTAGAAGAGATAGATATAAGAGATCATACAATGTACTCAGCATGCTAAACATCATCAACACATCATCATCAGCAAAAAATACAATAGTTTATAAGACAACAACAAACATTAGTAAAACATTTTCAATCCAGAGTGATCATTCCAAGTTCTCCAATAATGTGAGCATTACTTTGAGTATCTAGGGCCTTGGTGAAAATATTAGCTAGTTGATCTGAAGTCTTGACATGTTTTAGAACAACCTTGCCCTTCTCAACATTGTCTCTGATGAAGTGATGTCTGATCTCGATATGCTTTGTCTTTGAGTGCTGAACATGATTCTGTGTGATCTGAATGGCACTAGTGTTATCACAGTATATAGTAGTCTTTGTGAATTTAAGCCTATAGTCTAAAAGTTGATTCTGAATCCATAAGAGTTGAGCACAACATCTCCCAGCTGCAGCATACTCAGCTTCTACAGTGGAGATAGCTACTGAGCTTTGTTTCTTGCTAGACCAACAGATTAGTCGATTTCCAATGAAATGACATCCACCTGACGTGCTCTTCTTGTCTAAGTTGCATCCTGCATAGTCGGAATCATTGTATCCAAAGAGTTCAAGTGCTGAGTCACGAGGGTACCACAATGCCAAGTTCTGAGTGGCCTTTAAGTATCGAAAGATGCATTTAACTGCAATAAGATGAGACTCCTTGGGATTAGCTTGGAATCTAGCACAGAGAATGGTTCCAAACATTATATCAGGGCGACTTTCAGTGAGGTAGAGAAGAGCTCCAATCATTCCTCGATAAAGATAGTGATTAACATCAGTGCCGGTGGGAACAACGTGTAGCTTATCAGTCTTGGACACCACAGTAGAAGCCGGTTTGCAGTCGATGAGAGAGTACTTAACAAGCATGCCAGCAATATATTTACTTTGACAAATTGAGATACCTGATTTTTGTTGCTGAACCTCAAGACCTAAGAAAAAGGTCATCTTCCCCATCATGCTCATGTCGAACCTTTAAGACATGGTCTCAACAAATTCCTTGCTCAGCTTCTCATTTGGAGATCCAAAGATGATATCATCGACATAGATTTGAACAAGAATCATTTTTGAGCCTTTGTTTTTGATGAAGAGAGTATTATCAATTGTTCCTCTTCTGTAGCCATTTTCAAGAAGATATGATGTGAGTGTCTCATACCAGGCCCTACGAGCTTGCTTCAGTCCATATACAGCTTTATCTAGTTTTTACACATAGTTAGGGTGCTTTTTGTCTTCAAAGCCTTGGGGCTGTTTGAGAAATACTTCTTCTTCTAACACACCATGAAGAAATGTTGTTTTGACATCCATTTAGTAGACAATGAAATTCATGTATGAGGCATATGCGAGAAATAGTTTGATTACTTTAATGCGGGCAACTGGAGCAAAAGTTTTCACGTAGTCAATATATTCAATTTGAGTGAACCCCTGAGCAACAAGTCTTGCTTTGTTGCGAGTCATAATACCGTCTTTATCAACCTTATGCGGTAGACCTAACCTGTTCCGGTGATGGTCTTTCCTGATGGTTTGGGAACAAGAGTCCAAACCTTGTGCCTTTCGTACTCGTTCAGCTCGTCTTGCATGGCTTTACTCCAGTCAGCTTCTTGAAGAGTTGAATGTATCTTGTCAGGTATGATCATTGAAACGAAATTAACATACATGCAAAAATTATTAGATACACGAGATCTGGTTCGGACACCATCATGAAGATTCCCAATAATTTGATCAACAGGGTGATCTCGATATCCAGGAGTTGATTCCAATGGATTTGACACTGAAGTGTTATTACTGAAAGGAACATCAGTTTTAGGATAGTCTTCAGTCTCAAGGGTTTCATTAGCATCGGAAATGAGTTGTCGAGCTGACCGCAATACCTTGATTTACAGAACTTGGGTCTGAAATGATACGATCAGGAAAAATAGCTTCTTCTTCAGTGTGAGAAACTTCATCAGTGTATGATTCTTCATCAAACTTTACATGAATGGATTACTCAATGCACTGCCTGTTGACATGAAAAATACAAAAAGCCTTTGAAATAAATGAATATCCAACAAAAATACCTTTGTCAGCCTTAGGCTCAAATTTTGATCTGGGATCGCGCTGATTAAGAATATAACAAATGCCTCCAAACACGTGAAAGAAGGATACATCCGACTTTCGACCTTTCAGCATCTCATATGGTGTCTTCTTGTGAACCACGTGAATTAGTGAGCGATTATGAGTATATCATGTTGTATTAACAGCTTCATCCCAAAACGACATAGGAAGACCAGCATGAATCATTAAGGTCCGTCCTGCCTCAATCAGTGTTCGATTTCTTCGTTCAGCGACTCCATTTTTTTGAAGCGTGCGAGGAGCTCAAAAGTTCTACACAATACCTTTAAAATCACAAAAATCATCAAGAGTCGAATTCTAGAACTCAGTGCCATGATCACTCCTTAGCTGCTTAACTTTGAGACCAGTCAACGTCTCGTTTTGTCGAATCAGTGAGATAATTTCCTGTGCAGCTTGACCTTTCTTTTTCAAGAAAGCCACCCACGTAAATTGGGTAAACTCATCCATAACCACCAGCGTATACTTATTTCCTCCTTGGGAACGAACAGGAATAGGTCCAAACAAGTCCATGTGTAGTAAATGAAGAGGAACATAAATGCTAGAACATGACTTGGGTTTGAATGATGACTTGGTTTGCTTTCCATGTTCACACGCTGAGCACATCTTGTCTTTAACAAAGTTGAGTTTTGGGAGACCTCTAACTAGATCTTGATTGGATATTTTAGATAGATTCTTAAAGTTCAAATGAGAGAACCTTTTGTGCCAAATCCAGCTGAGATTGGTTTGAGACCTAGTAAAGAAACATTGCATCAGTGCCTTGTCACTTGAGAACATGTCAAGAACATATATATCATCTTTTCTACTCAGTGAGAGTACAATGTTCTTGTCAGTGTTGATGACTCTTCCTTCGTTCTTTGTAAGATGAACTTCATAATTAGCATCACACAATTGGCTGATTCAGATGAGATTGTGTTTGAGACCCTTTACATATGAAACATTCTGAAACACCACATTATTGCACTTGATTTTCCCATATCCTTTAGTAAACCCCTTTCCATTGTCTCTGTATGTTACTGCAGGACCAGTTTTCTTGACATAGTCTTCCAGGAGAGACTTGGATCATATCATATGTCTTGAGCAACCACTATCTAAGTACCAAAGATGCTGTTGACCCTGCAGTGCTGAGAAACTAGTTAGAACACATTGACCCATTGTAAGATGGGTCATTCACAAAGTTATTTGACAATATATTATAGCACTCTTTAGGAAGATAGTTCAAAGAATTTGATTTAAGAGTCCATCTTTCATTTCTAACTTTGATGTTGTCAGCTCTTAATGATGTTTTATCAAACTTGCATTCACTGATCTTGTGAGAGGTGTCACCACATTTGTAATAAACTCTAGTACCAAAGTTTTTCTTGGTAAAAAGATTTCTAGGTTTAACACATTTGGATTTGAAAGATTCACCAAGTGAACTTTTAGTCCTTTTATTTGACATTGAATTACAATAGAATTCAGTGACAGAAGAACTATGATTAGTGATGGATAAGGAGCTGACATAAGTATCAAATTTAGACTCATGCACTGAAACAGTGCAATCAGGATAATGTTTAAGTTGTTCATGAACAGCATGAAACACTCTGTTTGAAATAGGAAATGCGATATTATTTTCAGTGAAAGGAGTCGTTCTCTCAAGATGTGCAGGGTAAGAAGTAGGATCAATTCCGGTAATTTCAATATTACACTCAGTAACACCATTAGAATCACTAACATAGTATTCATCAATGAGACTCTGATTAATAAAACTGTTGCTGATAAATTTGTTTTTGAAACTATCTTTTAATTCATTCACGGAATAAAATTCCGATTCCTTTTCTTGAGATTTAAAAACTTTTTCAGCTTCAGCAAAATTTCCCCCAAGGATTTTCTCACATGAATGAGGTATTTGAGCAGAAATAACATAATTAGCATTTTTGTGAGATTTAGCCCAAAGTTTTAAAACAGTTTGTTCTTTGCTCAAGAGGTCTGTAAGTTTATCAATTTCAGCAGATAGCGAGGAATTTGATAAACTAGTAACTCTTAGATTTTCCTGAGTAGTGTCAATAATTTTATTTTTCAAGGATAGTTCAGTTTTAAGAAGATCAATTTGATTATGCATATCTCTTATGATTTGATTCTTCTTACAATTAAGAACACCAAAATACTCAAACGTTTTGATTTTTTCATTCATTAAATAGGAAACAAAATTTTGAACCTGATACATTGAAGGAGAATCAGTGTTGTGCTTCCTGGAGTTTTCAATTGCATCAGACATATCAGCATCAAACGAACTATTGCTGAATTTACATTCATCAGTATCTTCTATCTTAGCCATCAGACATTTAACTTCATCATCTGATGACTCCTCATCAGTCTTCCATTTTCTTCTTCAGCAACAAGAACTTTATGTTTCAAATTCTCTACTTTCAGTTTGTCAACCAAACTTGTTGTACTTCTGCTTCCAGTATTCATCGAGCTTTGGGTTCTTTGCTTGCATTCTTTTGCAAAATGATCAGTGCTACCACAGTTAAAGCACTGAGCTTTCCCTTTCCTTTCAATAGCATGTTTCTTGTCAGAATCTCATCTTTTTCAAGATTTCCCACTCATCTTC